TATGATCTATGGGTTGGTGCATGTATCAGATATGGATACATCTCTAGGAGTTGTGTCCCTTTTCTTTAAATCTAGGATATAGACATCCTCAAACACATGGTTATCTAGTTGTTGGAGCAATTTGTTTCTATTAGGTCCATGACAACAAACCTTTGACTGAATCATCTTCCCTCGAGGGATCACTTGCATTATATAAGAAAAGTATTACCTTATTCAACTATGATATCAATTTAAATATGGTAGATGTAATCAACCTAAATAAGGTAAATACAATTATATACATAATTATATTAAGTCATAAACTTCGTCAATCTTCGTGATATTCGTCAATCTCCATAATTTCTTTCGATCTCTTTGACATTCTATCCTCAAATTGATGCTGGATGATCAGAAAAATCAATTTGCTAACTGATGTACAAAAGAACTCAAAAGCCCAACTCAATAATCCATAGAAAATGTAATTAAGTTCATTCAACAACTCTAATGTCGGACCGCTATAATAAACCTTCTACTTCATAATAGCTTGCATCATAAACAAGCAAGCTATCAAAATAGGTTTGTGATGGCGAGAACCGCCCAGCACTCAAAGCAAAGAAAAGTCATACGTTAACAAAAATTCTGTTAACCGTAGACCACCGCAAGAGTTACATGTTGATAAAAATTCTGTCAACCATGGACCACACAAAAATCACACGACAAAAATTCTATCAACCGTGGACCACCACAAATGACCCACACCTAAGAGGTTGAGTTATGCTCAAAGAAAATCAAGGATTTGGTAAAAAATTCTATAAGGTAGACTCTGATACCATAAAAAACTTTTGATTGAATCATCTTAAATATGGTTAATGTAATCAACCTAAATATAATATATACAATTCTATACATAATTATGTTAAGTCATAATCTTCGTCGATTTTTGTGATTTTCGTCAATCTCCATGATCTCTGTCATTCTCATTGACAGTCCAATGCATAAATTGAAAAGGGTCTAATTAATTCGTCCAAAACCCACCTTACCATATTTCTATGCCACCAACTTCATTAATCTTAATAATGTCCATTCACCTATACCTTTTACCTCTTCCTTGTTCACTACCCTCACCATTTTCTAATAACTTCTTTCTCCCATCTCAAAAACATCCCCTACAAGCCTCTTCGTCTTCATCCTTTGTCCAAAGCGTCTCTCTTTATTCTTCCTTTTCTCTAGTCTCCATGGCCCCTCTTTTCCTAGATCATGTGGATACTTCACCTATTTGCAAAATTTCACCATTTTCTTCACCCAATATTTCTACTTACTGCTTTAATAATTGCTTTGTTGCCTAAATTTGGAGATTGGCTTCTTCTTTTCCCTAATTCAAATTAGTTTCTTTGTCCTTTTCTTTTTAGTATCGATTATCACGGTTTAGGTCTCTTCTTCCTTTCAATTATGAAGTGGATTTGCATTGTTGTGCCTTTCTCTGATTGCAAAGATTTGAGACAGATCTGACACTTGTGGGCATGTCTTGTCATGCTAAACGTATATTTACTCAAAAATGAAGAGTCCAAGCATCGAAGTTGGTGTGTGTAATGAGCTAGCAAAATAATGAACTTTCCAAGTAAGTTACCATACGGACAACAAAGAAGGAACAAAGGTAATGATGAAATATAATAGACTTTCCATGTGTTAAATCGGCATTAAAATAGTTAGAATAGATAATAACATGATAAAATTTCCATTTTTCATCTTTCATAGTCAGTAAGTTGAGGAGTGTGTCTTGATAAATAGCACTCCAAATTTATCTTCAAAGTTTCGTGCCTCTAGACGTACTCTTTTTCAAAAAAAAAAAAAAATTACAATTAGTGCAAGTGTCATTGCTTCCTTAAATGAAGAGGAAAATCTATATTTGTTCCCAATTACGCCTATTGATAGTCATATTTGAGTGAAAATCCAATACTAAGACTTCTTTGAAAGTAAATAATCTTTTTCCCACTATTCCACATAAACGACGTGAGAAAATTTTTTGAAGCAATATTTTAAGTTGATCTAATTAAATTTTCAACTTCAAAAGCTATCAAAATATTAATTTTATAATTCAAATTTGATATTATACAAATATTGTTTGTCTACAAGTAAATAAAGTATGAGTTGTTTCTTTTTTAACATGTCTCATGGCATTGCATTGCATGCCATTGCATGTTTCCTTACTAAGCTTCTTTAGCTTTCCATTGAAGTTATTTTCCATGTAGGAGTATTTCATGTCAATATCAAAGTGTAAAAGGAAAAACACTAGCAGAGAATTGATCTTAGCCCTCATTTAACACTATGTTTCAAGCGAAACATATGAGTTGAACTAACGGAATATTTTTTACAAATATTACTAAACCAAGTGCCAAACGATAGTTTCAACTTATCATCAACAAATACCATATAATTCTTAGCATGTAAGATGTTGGATAGTTTCATCCACAAGATGTTTGATGCAAGTTCCTATACACGGTCAACTATTGATGTGACAAATTGAAAATAACTTTTTATCATATATTAATTCATGATGGACAATTGTGGCAAAATTTGCAAATAAAAAATCTTCCTTTTCCGTTTAGGGAAAACAGTATAAATGGGTAGATCAAAAGGGAATAATTTCCACTTTCATTGATTGTATTGAAATAACGTCGTTAAACTTTATTTTCATTAATTTTCCCAAAATTCCCTGTCAAATGCCTCTGGCAAGATTAATAGGATATTGAATGACATGTCAAGTTCCAAGGACAAATCCATGTTATATTGAATTGTTTCACAACTAAATAGGTTCAAATTAGGACAAGGATAAATATGTCACATTGGATTGTTTCACACATGTCCAGGTGTACTCATAAGTATTGGGGCACTGCTTTTGTTGCTCAAAATTAACAAATTGTATCTCCAATATCCACTTTACATAAGGCGACTTTTAAGCATAAGATTTTCTACAAATCCAAATTACACTCGAAAGAAAAGGAAAATAACTCCAAGTATGCAACAAGTATAAAAAGGTAACTATATAGTCCTAACTCCCAAATGCTTCCAATCAAATCAATCCAAAAGCATATATATTGCTATGGATTGGGTAATAAAAATAAGTATTGTGATGCAACCAAAATAAAAACCTCCAAAGCCAAAAGTACCCATATTCATCTGGACACAATCTACATCCACATAAAACATTGACGAACTAACTCTCGTCCCTTCTAACCTCCCGTCGACTTGGGACGGTGTGGCATACCATCTCTTTAAGTACGCAATTAAAGACATCGATTAGTGTCACAACCGCGAAAAGGAAGGTTGCCGGCTAATTTGACTCGAACGATCAAGTTATTGAGTGTAAGATATGGATATAAGAGGTACAGTTTAAAATTGTAGCTTATCATTCTTCAGTAGGTATCCTTGTGAGTAAATATCCTTCTTTATATGGACGAATAAGTGGAGATGGAGAGTTCCCGTGTTTTTGTCAGGTGGAGAGTTCCCATGTTCTCCATCAGTTGTCGATGGTCAACTACCTTCATGGAGGGAATGGAGGTGCAGGTGTCTCCATGCACTAGTTGGCTAGTCACATCACATGTGAACTACAACTGTAGATGCCTTAGAAGTCATGTTGTCACAGCTTTTGTTATGGGAATTCGTTCATAAAGTCACGTTTACCATCTCAAGCTACATCTCAAGCTATTCTTCCATTGTGGGAGTAATCTCATCTAGGGAGCTAACCAAGTGGAAAAGGGTGATCCCTTATTTTAGTGCCTGAGCTGATTTTTTCATTGGGTCCCAATGGTCATCCTTGACTCATATTTGTTGGCCCAGGTAACTGTCATCTTAGTGAACTCTGAGCTATCTCTATAGCTCTAATATATTCATTTCGACCCTTTGCATTGAATAGTAGTTGAGCATGATTTTGACCATGAGAGGGTCATACGCATTCCAATGGACAACCTCTTTCTTCAGCTCCCTTAATGTCGTGTCATCATGTGAGGGTCCATGCATTGCTAAATGGGAGAACTTACAAAATGGTATGATATAACACCTGTATTTTCCATGTCGAAAGACAGTTCACTTTGCACAATGTTAAAATGTTCTTTTATGGATACTGTCATATCCTGCTAGACCCTAGCAATCTAAATAGGAAGTTCAATTGATTAATTGCAACTTCAACGTGAAACAAATGAATTACATTCCCCCCACCCTATTTACATGTACTATATCTTGATTTAACTCTGTTAAACTACTTTCTTCTTTTCTTTTTTTTTTTTTTACCACAATAAAATGGTTGCCTAACCAGAATCAGGCAACTAAAAATTACTCAATCTCCAAACTGTACAAGTTCACAGCATTATGGAGACTGCAATATTTTTATAACCAAGATTTTAGCAAAACCAAAGGGGAAGTTTTGTCGAACAACTATAACGCTAGAAAACTATTGTCCTCTAGAACATCACGCTGTGGAACTTGTGCGAAAAACAACTTAGTAGGGTCACCGAAGATTGTGGTGACAGTGGAAAATAAATCATTTTCCCAGTTAAAAAATACTTCAAATGCATCCAACTCAATCTAATATAGTATGTGACTGTAGCACCAGACACTTGGAACAATTACAAATGTCTGAAGGCCATAGGTTAAAATGTTCGGTTGTATAGACCTCAAAATTGTAGGTCCAAGAGAAGAATGTGTTTGGTTATCCAGACCTTCGTGAAAATGTATAATGCAACATTTCAGCAAGCTCCAGAGATTGTAAGGCTGCTGGATTCGTAAATAAAATCATGTGAAGTAAAGATTGTATACTTGATCTATCATCCACACCTTTAAAAATGTATGAAAAAAAGGGCAATAAAACTTCAGACACTTGCAACCACAAACTAGTTAAAAAACCTGGAGAAACATAGAAATTAAGTTTTACTTGTACTCAATTTTCATTGTGAAAATAGACAAGCATTAAATGCTTGTAAAAAGCAGGAAAAAAAATGAAATAAAAATGGAAATATAACTCATACTTGCTACTGCCACCGTGATCCACTTGTGGGTCCCGCCTCACCAGAACCGCCACGTCAGCAGTCAGGTCCACCAAATTTCGCTTCCTCTGGGTCTCCACCTCGCGTGGGAGCGAAGCATTGATGTTGACGGCCCCTCCGCCGCCAACAGCTGCGTCCCCTCCTCCACTTCCACTCCCGCCATTTTTTAGCAAGCAATGGAAACACCTCCAATCCTGCTGCGGCTGCACCGTGTGCCTCCCGGCCGGAATCCCACAAACAGAGCACACTGAAACACCACTTACCGACGCCTCCACCGCCGGTACCGGAATCATTATTTGTTGGGCTTCAGCAGGATACGAAATCGGAACCTCGTTCAGATCTAGTTGAGGCCACGTGTTCACATTTGCAACACCTCTTTCACTTTCCATTTCCAAATACTTTCAAAAAATTATCACAAAAAACTCTCAACATTAGCACTCTACCAAAAATGCGATACACTCTATACAAGATGAATTTTATTGGCCAAAAAAATAGGGTCTTTTGGGAATTTTATCAAAATGGCAAAAAATCACCGCTGCGATACGTTGATCGGACAGAAAAGGGGATGTCACCTACCCAAAGAAAGCAGTGGGGGAAAGAAAATTTTGTATTTTTGAACCAAAAAACGGAGAAAATGAGGGGGTGGCGTGGATACTGTGAAGTGGGGTGAGGTGGAGAGAGCTGGGTTTCTTGAGAATGGTGAAAGGGAAAATGGTGGTGGGTAGTTATATTTCGGCAATGGCGGATGGAATGACTAATTTATTCTTGTTTTGTGGAGTAATTGGGGCTTTTGTGACGGGCTTTGGAAAATGGGAAGAAGAACAATGGGTAGTAATGGGATGAATAAGCACGTTTGCAATTTTGGAATTATTTCGAAAGAGTAATGCTATTTAATAATTTCAGTCAATGCAGTGTTACTATATCATTAAATGATAGGTACATTTAATTTTACTTTCCATTTAGTCTATCACCTAATATTAAATGAACTGGACTAAATAGTGTTACTCATTTTGAAAACATTGATGTCTTTGGATATAAATTAATAATAATGCTACTTAATAACAGTTGTTTTCAATATTAAATATCATCGATGCCAAATAGCATTGCTAAAAGATTAACGATATAAAAGTGATTGTAATAACACAAGTAGTGTTAAGTTGTTTTAGTTCGAAAATCATTTTTCTTTGTATACGTTAAATCCTTTTCTTGCCCGATCGATGCGATCTCAATTGGCATATATTGGCCCCTTTCATTGAATTCCCCAAAGACCATTTTTCGTTTTTTTCTCTTTTCTTTTCTTTTCTTTTTCCTTATTATATAAACTCTCTTTCAAAGCTCCTACATTTATTTCCCTCATCAATTTTTCTTACTTGAAAAAATACCTATTAATTTTAAATTTTTATCACACTGTATTTTAGTGATTGTATTTATGATCTTAATGATAGGTTAGGTAACAATATCTCAGTGGCAATAAATAATGAAAACTTAAAAATAGTTAAATTATATTAAAAAGATCGCTTGAATTAAAATAATTTATTATCATTTGTGTTGCTATAATCATATCCAACAAACACTTTAATATCATTAATTTATAAGTAATATTATTGGTAACAATGGTTTTTAACATTAGTTTGTGAGAATACGTGACGGACCTAATTAAATGAGTCATATATTCTTATATTCAATTTTACATATCATTTAATTTATATGCATTGGCACCGAACTAGTATTAAACACCATTAATACTTTATAGCATTATACTTAAATTTATACAAACACATCAATATTTTCATAAAAATAAAAAATGCCCATTAATATCTCCACCTATTTTTCATTCAAATTTTAAATATCCTAAACATTCACTCATCAAGCGTTCTTATTCATCCCATCATTACCATTGAACTCTTTCCCATTTCCAAAGCCCTTTTCAAAATCCCAAATCACTCTATACTAAATAAGGGTTTATAAGCCAGTCCACCGTTTATCCTCCATAGCCGAAATATAACTTTCCACATTTGTTTCCCATTTCACAATAAAAATAAAAATAAATAAATAAAAAATGTCCAGTACTCCTTATCATTATTGAATTAACATGTATATTAAATATATGTGATTCATTATTTAATTGAGACTCAAACATTGATATATAATACTCTCTTCGTCCCATTTATATAGGCTTGTTTTGTTTTTCACACAGATTAAAAAAATTTATATAATGTTATTGAAAAAACATTTTTTGCCAATAACTTGTTTAGTTTACCGTAATTTATATTTATACAATTTCAAGATTAAGTAAAAAAAATTGGTTATAACTAGGTAAATTAAATAAAAGTATATTAGTAAATGAATAAAACAAAACAAGCTCAATAAAAAAAGAAAGGAATATATAATTGGTATAAGAAAATAAGGAAAGTAAGTCTATATAATTGGGACGGATAGAGTATAATGTCAACATAATAATGTTAAGTGTTAAGAAATATTTAAGGATTAAAGTTTGGAAAAAAAGAATATTGTTATTTAGCATTGGTGTTACAACAAGAGTCCGGATGGCATTAAATGAAAGATACAATGAATAAGTCATTGAATTCTACCTTTCATTGATCTTATCACATAGTGACACCCTAAATTGATGTTGAACCACAAATAGTACAAAATAACATTATTCAAAAATTGGGATAAGAATTATTAATTGAAATTTTTAAAAACTTTTTTTTTTTTTTTTTGGAGAAATTGATGAGTTTCATAATTTTTATAAAAACCCATCCCTCAAAATGTTCCCAAAAGAGCCCATTAATGTACCACCTCATTTTATTAATAGTTTTGAATGTTTACAATTATAGTGACACATAAATTTTGATGATATGTACAAAAAGGAACATTCTTCATTTTATTACTTAAGGATTAAAAACTCAATAATAATAATTGATGGAAACTCAAAATAAATAAATAAATAATAACATTCAACCATATTAACTATAGCAATTACCTTGTATACATACTAATTTTACTCAAACTAAAACAAATAAATATTTACTTATATTAACTATAGCACCCAATTTATATACATACAAATTATACTTAAACTAACTAATTAATTCTACACTTATAGTTTAGGAAGAAGATGTTACGCCTAGGATCCAAATCAAATCCCACAAGCATTCCAAAGTGAAAAAAATTCTAAAAGAAAAAAAAATGTTAAAAACTAAATATGTATCGCAACGCCGGTATTTATCAATTTGATAGAATGCATCATACCTTATTTTTATTAAAGTCTTGTTCATCCTCTCGATAACTCTATTTTTCCGAGGTAAGAGGAAAAATTGACTAATTTAATTTATACCTTCACATTCCTTTATCTTTCTAGTAATCATTAAATTTAACATTATACATTTTAGGCCACAATATATCTTAAGAATTTTAATAATTTTTGCTATTTGATTTTCTACTAGGGTTTGCCACTATCTGATTTATTGCAAATTCTATTTTTGTGTTTCAAAAGAAATATATAGGCTATTCTAATGGATATAGTTTGCTCTTCTAACAATGGATATAGTTTGCTCTTCTAACATGCATGTTTCAGCAGCATATCTGGTTAGTATAGCCTTTGTATGGTTCAGTCAAAAAGCTAATTAAATTTTAAGTCAAAATCAACAATTTATTTTAAATTGCACATTTTATGGGAACTACAACTTTAAAAGCACATTCCATCATCTTTATTAAAATCTACTAAAAATCTAATTTTTATCTAAATCAAATAGTGACATAGTATTTGACATTATTTATTATTTGCACGACCTAATTTTTGGTTATAGGATTTCATAGTATCAAAAGAAGAATTGCATTTTACCTAGTATATAATAAAGGCTCCGTTTGGGAGAGATTCTGAGAATTGATTTTTTAACCGTTGGAAGAAAAGTGGGGTCCGCCTGTGAAAGAATAAGTCAAAAATTACGGCTGAAATAGTGAAATAACGGTCAAAAAATCAATTTTTTTGAGTAAAAAATCCCTCCCAAACACACTTAAAATACGTTTCTCTTAATGCCCTCCCAAACACACTTAAAATATGTTTCTCTTAATGCCCTGCCATAAGAGAATCAATTATTACTTTCAAAGTATCTTGGTCAACTTTCTAATTGTATTCTAAATCTTGAAATATTTTAATAACACTAGGAGTGTCAAGTGTGTTTGGTTTGTCACTTTGAAGTTATTGTCAATTTTTAATTTTCTAAAACACTCAAAACATATTTGATATGTTATTTTCAAAAATGAGTTTTTTGAAAAGAAGGAAATTTTTTCAGCATAAAACTAAAAATGACTTTTTGACATTTTGAGTATTTTTATTGAAAACACTCAAAAAATTAAAAATAAGGAAAATGAACTTAAAAATTTTTCAAATTAATATGATTAATAAAATCACACAAAACCTACCAAATACAAATATTCATCTCTCTCTCTCTCTCTCTCTCTCTCACAAAATTTATATGGATGATTTCGATGCGATTGTTGGAGATATAGTTACAATGATTCTCTTTTTTATCAACTTTAAAATTTATGTTTTTTTTAATCACACATTAGCATTAAATTGATATGTTTTACTAAATAATTGAAATAATTGAAAAAATGTCATAAAACTATTTTTAGAACTTTTAAATCAAAATGCATTTTCTAGTTTTTGTTTTGTGGAACATTTTTTTCAGAATGACAAATCAAACGCTTTTCTGTAATATTAAAATAATCTTCAAAATGGAAAATAGAAAATGAATTCAAAACTGAAAACATAAAATAGAAACGTAAATCAAATGCACCATAAATTTCTTCTTAGTTCGACAAAATTCAGTTTGAGTTAAATGTACGCGAGTGTCATCATGCAGTTTAAAATTTATATTGCTTATTCTAATAATAGGGCAATATTGATTATTTTTTTTAAACATGTTTTGTATCAATCTTTCCATAAGAATATTACCTCAATGCTAATTACTAATGCAAATGATAATGCATCTCTCCTATGTTTTTTGAAGCTTTTTAATATCTTTGAAAGATTTATATAGAGAACTCACTAATACATAAACTAGATATTCATGTTTCATTTTATGCTCACTATTTGCTAAATCTAGCTTTATTCTATTTGAAATCATCAATGTTTTTAATTTGAAATTTTAGGTGTATATATATTATATGCTACGAATCTTCCAAGAATATAAATTCTATTGGGGTGTGTTTGATTGGGAGCATGTAATTTACATGGAAAAAAAAATTCTAGGTCATTAAATTATCTAGAAATTATTTGCATGAAAATCATCAATTAAATGTGTTTGATTGATTTTGTTTTCAACCTAAAAAATGTTATACTTGTCAATTTTTTATTGGTAGATAGATGTGAGAGAAAAAGAGAATAAATTACCTATAAATTAAAAACTTACTCTCTTTAAATAAATTTTTTTCCTTGTTTTTAAGGGAAATATGATCATGTGACCAAAAGTATGAAAATATTTTTCATATATAAAAATTAATCAAACAGCATAAAAGTAGGAATTTTGATAAAAAAATATTTTTCATGATTAATATTGGCAATCAAACTCACTCTTAGGGAATAAGGTAATCTTTGAAGCATTATCTGCATAGCGAAGTTACTAGAAGATAATGAGTAATTAAGTTGTGGGATTCCTCCAATATCTCGGCCTCCATGCCAGGTATAGAGTTTAAGAACCTTGGTGAATTACCCAAGTGGTCATTGAACTTTGCAAAAAAATTTCACGAGGTCACTGAATTTTAAAAATCACCCAATTAATCACTAAACTTTGGAAAAGGTTTCCACAAG